TCTAAAGCAGAATGTGATTTCTCAAGTGATTGAGTTTACTATCTAAATTTATGCTAATTAGACTGCGGAAAAAATGCACAATAGCACAAATGACCAGAACTAAATGATTTTTTACCTAAATCAATGAAGCTAAAAATTAAAAGTAGAGCAGTACTACAAGTGCTGCTGATGAAAGATTCCAATTTCCAACATCAGCTACAATGGTATCATTCAAAAACTTCGTTCTCAAAAACAAAAGAAACCATGAAAAATGGAAATGCTCACCATATTAATATCTATTCTTGATGCATAGAAAGGATTTAAAAACAACAATTATCTGTACATACCTATGTCTATATTGGGTGCAGGATGTCCAGAATGCAACAAGACCATTGAAAATGTTCCGAAGAGACCTGAAGACCTATAAACAAGATAAAATCCAGTAATCAGTAGATGATAAAGAGAAATTAGTTTGACAAAAAAAAAACTTCATTCCAAGTAGAAATGAGACACTAACCTGGGAGAAGAGATCATTCCAGAGAGAACCCCAAAGTGAGATTTGGGATGAATTTGACTCAACTTTACTAAGAAGAGTAACATCATTCATGCTGCTAGCAATGTTCTTGAAGGCAATGACAAAAACTGTATAGATGCTACAGAAGAGAGAAACCACATGATTTGCCAACACAAGACAGCCTCGTGCTGGAAAGAGAAATAATATCCACATCGAATGAAACAGTGGGCATATCATTGTTACTGGACAGAAAAGAGCCAACATTAGTTTCCAATGGAGTAACAAGAAATTATATGTTCTATACAAGCTGAAAATAAAGTAATCCCTAAATATCTATTTTGTGACCCCTCTATGAAAACATATCTGTAAATAGTTTTACTTTGATCTTAAAATAAAGTTCAGAGTGAAATTAATTATACCTAAACTTGCTAGACATGAATAGAGAAGCTCGAAAGGTGAGAACAAAACCTCAACAAAATCACTAATCATGCTGAAGAAGGGGCCAATCCAAACCCAAGTGGTGATGTAGAATTGTTCTCCCATTTCAGCAAAAATGATCCACATTGGTTTTACAAATTCAATTATTTCCCCAAGTGGGTATGTCAAAGGTTTCATGAGCAGCGAAACTGACAATGTTACCATGCGCATCACTGTTAGAAACCACTTTATAGCCTTCTCAAGGTTATGAAGGAACAACATTGTTCCTAGATATCTAATTCTTGAAATCCCATCCCATTCTTCAATCCATTTAAAAAGTGGCCCACAGAGGTGGGATGCGGTTGCCTTGAGGAGAGGTATATTCTTATAGAGATCATAAAACCCGATAACAACAGTTATAAGGGAGATTAGTATATAAAAGGTTCTGAACAAAGGCGGCATCCAGGGACTATATACTTTACAGAATAGTGGATAGGATTGAAGAAAGATGACCCAAGAAGGTAGGCCTGCCTCAAGCAAAGCAAGAAGTTTTAAATCTGGAGTGATTATCTGCCGTAATTTATATGGAAGATCAGTATCATTGAAAGTGAACAGTAGAAAGGTGTCCTTATATTCCATAGACTCAATGCTACTATTCATTTCCACGTTTTGTTCTCTATTCCCATGTGTTCCCGCCACCTGACAGTCCCTACTAAGTATATCATTTGTGTCAATTGGACATTCTCTAACATCAAAGAATACATCTTCTGAAAATAGCTCAGCTTGAGATGCATCATTAAACAAAAATTCTTTTGCAGCAACAGTAATTTCGTGCGAACAGAGGGAAGGAACTTTGTTATGAAGAAGGACCAGATTGTTCTGCAGTGTTTGTGTTTCGGATTCAGTGCCTGCGAACCATGATGTTATGCAGGCCAATGCTTGGTCGATGCCATTGAATTCCCATTTCCTCAAAGCTTTTACTTCTAAGGCAAAGGATGTATCATCCTGTTGTCATAAATAAACCATTAAGTCAAGGTACCACCTACTAAACTGATATTTTCTTAACGCAGATAAGCAATTAAGATATATATGGTAGGCAATTCAAATGTCAACCAACTCATATAGTATAAATTAAAGATTTCCAAGTTTGTAATAGATGTTTTATGCAGGCTTTATTAATTGGGTACCACTGACATTGTTCCAAAATTCATAATGCAGAGACGGATGTGTTATGTGTATGTGATCCATATACAAGCTATCAAGGAGATGGCAGTGCTACAATAATGCTCAAGTACCTGGAGTTTGTTTACATAGTTGATACCGCGTACATCACTCCATGCAACTTCGAACACAATAAGGCCGTGTAAAGCTTCATACAAATTCATCGCAGAGAAAGGAGCTTTTTCTCTCAAACGGGCCATGTTCATGATGGGAAACCACTTGTACAAATTTTTACTTTCATGGCTGGGAGATCTGTAACCTAAATTTGGACTCTTATGCAGAGTTCTATGGTTTATAAAAGGTGACAATCTGTACTGTAGACAAGCAGAAAGTGAAATGACTCAAAATTTGCATGGTGTAAATTCACAAATCACAAAGAAAATGTGCAAATATTTGACCTTGGTGATCATTAACTCCCTTATGAAGGCTGATCTTGACTGTTTGTTCTTCCGCCATGACTGATTGTCCACCAGGATAAGAAACTTATGACTAACAGGTGCAAAATACAGGAATGCCTTAGACAGGTGAGATTTCACATACCTGCAGCAGAAGATCAATGTGATCATCACAGCCACTATTTCCTAATAATTGATTCTAAGAGATACATGATTCATGTCATAGTATCAGCATGCATCAAATAAAAGATGAAAATGCATTAATTAAAATTCCCAGCTAATCATAAGAATTGAGAATTACCCAATTTGCAAACTTGTCAGAGGATGAAGATGAGGAAAAGAGTCCATTCTCAAAAATTGCTCAACAGAACCTCTAAATGCCTCCTACTCTCCAAAGAAATCCCAACTTATTATAACTGGAAAACTTGAAGAACGCCCCTTCCTCTGAACAAGCAGACAAGCTAGCTTGCAATGTAGCACTTAAAAATATAAATAAATAAAAAATAACTATCATCTGATAAGAAATTTATATAGTTGAGTTAGTGCCCTTAGCGTATGATATAGGCAGTGGAAGCGAAGGCAAAAAAGGAGAATTTGAGAAGACAAAAGGAGACGATATAGGAGATTGAGCATTGTTTGTTGGTTTCATCTGAAAATACGGACGTCTACTCAAATATCCGGCAGTGCAATTCAAGATTAGGTGAATGCTCTCCGATTTATGAGGCCGCCAAATTTGGAATCAACTTATTAACGCTAAATACTAAAAATTGAACTCCTCTCCTCTCTAACGAACTTCTTAAATTTAATGTTAATATATTTGGTGATCATTATTTATTCTTCTACATTCTAATCTATACCCTTTGCAATCTCATTCCCGCTTTATTACAACATTAATCAGGTACGTAAAACTAGTTTATCTTAAAATGTGTATAACTAACTAACTCCAGATAGTTTGACGGTTCGCTTAGGACTCTTGGGTATATTACTCAAGTAGTCAGGAGTTCGAATCCCTACAACTACTAATAAGGGATAGCCACTGGAGGCTTACCTGACCATTAACTTTAGGGCCCCAATGACTAGTTGAGGTGAGCACAAGTTAGCCCGGACATCCACAAATACCGAAAAAAAAAAAATGTGTATAACTATCTCTAAGTAGCTTGGCGGTTCACTTGAGATTCTTAAGTGTATTACTCAAGAGGTCCCTACGACTACTAATAAGGGATAGCCATTGAAGGCTTACCTGGCCATTAACTTGAAGGCCCCGAGGGACTAGTTGAGGTGCACAACAGCTAGCCTGAACACCCGCAGATACCAAAAAAAAAAAAAAAAAAAAAAAAAGTGTATAACTACCTCTAGGTAGCTTGGTGATTCGCTTAGGACTCTTGGGTGTATTACTCAAGAGGTCGTGAGTTCGAATTCCCACGACTACTAATAAGGGATAGCCATTTGAGGTTTGCCTGACCATTAAATTTAGGGCTCCAGGAGACTAGTTGAGGTTCTACGTGTTTCATTACCTCTCTTTTTGGACTTCTTTTAAAAGAAATTGAATCATAATAACTATATAGTGATGATTTCTCTTATACAGTAAAACCTCTCTATAGTCATAATGGTGGGACTAACTAATTTTATTACTATAAGGAGGTTATAACTTAATGGAAGTGTTGTTACAAAAATTATAGTTTTGATTTCTTATTTTTTAATTCATGTTTTAGTAGTATAGTATTAGGATTTCAATTCATATTTTAGTAGTATTAGGATTTCAATTCATATTTTAGTAGTATTAGGATTTCAATTCAGCGCTTCAGTTGCCTACTTTTGAAATGGATAAAAGACCGTATCTTGGAACCAGCAAAGATAAGTATCATTAATGGAACTCTATATGCAGTTGATACATGGTCAATTGATGTAAAGCCACCGACAATTGCCAATGGTTTTAAGCATTGCAAAATTAGGACTCCCGATTTCAATGAATTGCAAGCTACAAATAAAGTGGATAAGGAAAATAAAAGAGTCATTGCAAAATTGAGTGATTAGATTCGACAAGAAAATAGAAGAGCCATTGCAAAATTGAGTGATCAGATTCGACAATTTCACTACACTAATCGAATGGATATTAACAGTAGCAGATCCAAAAATTTCTGTTAGGGTGGGCTAAAATAAAAATTAATTATATATTAATATTTTTGTTAGGGTGGGCCAAAATCTAGAAATTATATATATTAGTATTTAAAAAAAAAAAAATTGAGGGTCAGCCATGGCCCACCCAAAAAGAGGCTGGATCCACCCCTAGATATTAATGTCTTTCTCAATAATCCAGATGAGCAACAAATCATGTATGCTTTAACCGAAGAAAAAATCATTGTTACAATTAGACAAGAAGATAAAAGAAATAATCATAAGGATGATAGTACGGAAATACAAAAAGTTTCATGCCATGAAGCTCTAAACATGCTTAAAAAGCTAAAATTATTTTGACTTCAACAAGAAGGTGTCCATGCTAGCAAGTTATTACATACTAGAAAGGTAAAAGATGTGATAACAACTCTAAAATATAAATCATTGTCTTAAACAACTTTAGACAAATATTTTATTTCATCTTAAACCTTTAATGTAACATAACATATATTTTTTGGTAATATACAGATAATTATTATTATGTGGAGGCAACTTTCCTTAAGACGAGAATTAGAAAAATTATAACTTATTACAATGTGAAGTTTATTCTTATTTATAACTATCCCAAATTGGGACTATAATTTTTTATGACTATGTAGAGTTTATTCCTATATAGAGTATCATTATAGAGAGGTTTTACTATATATCTATAGGGATAAACGTATTTAGGATTATAAATTAGGAATTGATTTTCTTGATTTTAGTTCCACTTCATGATATTTCTAACCAGCCGTTGAAACGGTGCATGATTGGTCATATTTGGTCAGTCGTGTGCCGATTTGGCTATTTTCTGCCAGATCTCTAGCTATCAACGGCCAAAACTTCGGTCATAGATCTAGCCGAAAATGACCAGATCGGCACATGATCGATTGTGCACCATTCCGACCACTACCGTAATCGCCTGTTGTAGTGGCAGGTAGCCGACAATAGCTTGGGGTGGGTGGGGGTGATTTGGTTAGAAATTAAACTAATATGTGGCTAGGGTGTTTTAGCAATATCTCAAACGTAGGGGGTTAAAAGAATTATTAAAACAAAAAAAAAAAAATTATTATATTAATATTTAAAAATGAGGGCAATTTAGTAAATTACATAACATACCCACCAATTTATTCCTCCAAACTAAACATATTAATATAATGTAACCACAAATTTATTCAAACCAACCAAACACATTTTTCTAAACATTCCTAGTATCTTTCCATTAATATAACATTCCCAGTAATACAACATTCTTTTAACCAAACACACGCCAGCATATATCTCAAGGATACACATAATCATAATCAACTAAAACATAAAAATAACAATGAATTGAAGGGTATGATTAATTTAAAAAAAAAAAATCAAAATTTTGATTTACATATAAAATAGTGAAACTCCATAAATCATCCGTAAGGTTTGCTTTAATTTCAAGCCGAGAAGAGGCCGTGGCTTTTGAGTTTTAATCACAAACCATATAGCTTTATTTTATTATTATTATTATTATTTTATTTTATTTTTTGGACTTTTTGTTTGATATTTTACGAGGGTGTTAGAATTGAGAATTGATTGAGCAAAAGAAGTAATTAAAGATAGCTGGAGTATGTCCAAGAGATATGCTCTATACCATGTCAAAATTAGAAGAGTACGAGAGACAATTAAAGAGAGTCGAAGTATACTTGAGAAATATTTTTGAGAAGGTAAGAAAGACAACTAAAATGGTTGGAGTATGCCCAAGAGATGTGTGACAAAAATTTAATCTAATTGTATTTGTTGATGCGTGATTTTGACACCAACTAACCGTACGTGTTAAATGCTGAGCTGACCTAGAAGACACACGTGAATGGGGGATTGAGGATGTAAATAGTGGCAAGACAATGTTTAAAGTGGTTCGAATGCTTGACCAAGCAAATCCTACGTCCACTGATATTGTATTGATAATTAAAGGATCAGGTCGCGGCTTAGCGAGCTGATGAGAATACAAATGAGAGAGAGAGAGAGAGAGAGAGAGAGAGAGCTATTATAGAGAGAAGATAGCTAATCAAGAGTAAAATGAGCGAATCCCACAAACAGGAGAGAAGCTCTCTATTTATAGTGGGATACATTAAGGTAATCATTACTGAATCCGTAAAAAGGGGTCAGGTTCCGTGCAAATCTTCCTTTACGTCCCGTTATTCACCTACTCGCGCAATCTCCTCACTTTATGCAGGGATTGGACACGTGGACAACCTCCAGCCTTTCGTCAGTCTGGCGCGTACCCACTGCACTGATAGGAGCATGCTGCTCACGCCAACATGCGACGTGGCCGTGCCTAAATGGTTGTAGGATCTGCCCAGACCTTGACCAATTGAGTTGACTAGGCTCTACGTCAGCTCTACTTTTCTAGGCATAATAGAAGTCCCCTAATTTTTAAGGTTTGAGAATCGAACCTTGGAAATTACAAATGCCTTGATTTGACATGCTTGAAGAGATGTTGTTCGAAGCGACTTGATTGTGCAGGAGGTCGAATGGACATCTCCTCGCATGCGACCTGAGGCGATCTTCGACCTTACAGTCAGCGACCTGGATTTGGGTATCCAGTGCTATAATGATGGATCCAACCTGGATGGAATCTTCTACCCATCCAAACTTAGTAGCTTTCAAGAGGATAAGTGGTTGCTGTTTAGTAGCTGATACCCATCGAGGTCGAGAAATCACATCGCTTCGCAACCGATGTGAGATGAGGTTGAAGAGTTACGCCATCTCGCGACTTACGATACGGAGTGTGCTTTTCATAACGACCTCTTCAAATGTTATCTGTTGCACTTTTGCAGCAGATACATTAAATGAATCGTCTTTTGCTCTAACAGGCATGTCTTAAACGTAATAAGTGCCAGCCATGCACATTAAATACGAGTCATGCTGAAACGACATTCCCTATCAGAGCATTAAATGCAGACGTGGGCGCATTAAATGTGGAGGAGGGAAAACGTGCCGTCGTTTGAGTATTTCAATGCAAGGGGATGATGATCTAATTTTACGAGGTGACAGTCACTTTTCCTCGTTGATTCATGACACGTGGTCGCGATCAACGTTCAGATGTGTTTTCCACCCAAACGTCGTTTGACTTTAGAAAACCAAAGCGCCACTCCTCAGCTATATAAACCCCAAGCTCTTTTCAGGCAAAGTCACAGTACTTTCATTCTCAGAGAGAGAGAGCAAGAAGCTTTTGCGAATCTTAGTTCTTTGCCTTCCAGAGTGGTGTTTGATAGATTATTCGGAGTAGAAGAGCTAATCTTTCTCATCCCAAGAGGTAAAGATGAATCCCTTCCCCTATTTTGATTTAATTTTGCTTTCGACAGCCAACATGCGACGACTGTCCGTTGGAATCTCATCGGAGATGAAATATTCTCCGTTGAGTCAGGTTCACTGATGGTGGCCCTTTAAGCTTTATGTTAGGGTTTTTCTAGGGTTTAAGGGAGGAAATATTTATTTTCCTTTCCACGTCATCGTACGAAATAGTGTACGAGGACTGAACGGTTCCCTGCTTGTCGCTTTTGTAGACCGCAGCAGAATGGATCCCCTAATGACCAAAGCCAAGGAAAGGACTAGTTTGCCCATGCAGGATGCTCTGCGGGTCCCATTCGGGAGATCTTCTCAGTACTTACTGAGGAAGAGCTCAAAAAGGTGATAGACTAGTACGCTATCAGCATGGAGGTCTTTCGCGATAGGACACGTATAGCTCGGTATCCGCCACTAGGGTTAGCCGCGATCTCCGAGGATATTATACAAGGTGGGGGGTTGATCCCTTTCCACCCTTTTGTCAGGTCGGTCCTGGATCATTTCGGGATTGTGCCTATGTAACTCACGCCGAACGCGTACATGATTGTCGTGGCCATGTGCATCGCTTATCGTGAGAATGGGCTAGGCGAGCTGACTGCGATAGAACTCGGTTGCTCATATATCCTAAAGAAGAGCAAGGACAAGGATTCCTACTACTTGTCCAGGCAACCTACCATAGAAGCGGGGATACACAGCTACCCGAGCAATGTAGGACCGTATGAGACGAAGTTCTTTTTCTTTCGTCACGACGGCATTTGTCGGTTCCGGGAACCGAGTAGGTCTTTTTTCTTTTTGAATTAGTTAAATTTATGTCTTTTGCTAACGAGCCGTTTATTTTTCTGGCAATTAACAAAACGACCAATTTAGATCTGCTCGTGGACCTAGACAGGATCACAACCTTCAGTTTCTTGCCCGGGGCAAGTCGCGATGCAAGGCTGCTCGTGACGACCGCGAACTTGTGGAAATAATGTTTCTTCAATAAAGACGCGGCCTTAGAGACCCTGCCGAGTAAGTTTCTTGACTTCTTTTTAGATTCTTTGCGTAGCGAACTGTTTTACTAACGGTGTTCGCATGCAGCGACCATGCCTCCCAGAGTGCCCAAGTCACCACGACAAAGGCAATTTTCCTTCCCCCGAAGAGGCGCCACCGGACAAGCTGGAGCGGCTCCCAGAGGCAATTTTATCACTTTGGTGATGCAGTATGGGCCTTCCCAGTTCGGTCCCAAAACTCCCGCACTTGGTTCTCTAGTACCGAGAAGAACTTCCTTCAAAACAATGTCGTCGACCAGAAAGTCTCTTCTCTTGACCTTAGAGTCGAAGAACCTCTTCACGCGTTGCTGATAGGCTGCTATTCTTAGCTGAGCCTTGCTGAGATGTTCTTCAACTAGGTCCAGACTTGCGCGCATAAGCACTTTATTGTCGACTTCGTTGTATAGGTCCCTCCGAAGTGAACTGGTTCCTACCTCCACAGGGATCATCTCTTCGCAGTCGTATAATAGCGAAAAAAGGGTTTCTGAGGTAGAGGTTCTTGGAGTTGTCTTGTATGCCCATAGGACTTCAGGGAGGTCATCGGCCCAATTCCCCTTGGCTATGCCAAGCTTGGCCTTAAGAGTGTGCTTGATGGTTTTGTTGACAATTTCAACTTGACCATTTGCTTGCGGCCTTGCGACTGAGGCAAATTTTTTATGAATACTCAGCTCGTCGTAAAACTGCTTGAATTCCTCGTTGTCGAATTGTTTGCCATTATTTGAGATGAGAGTATGAGGAATCCTATAGCGGCACACGATGTTCTTGAAGACGAAGTCCTTGAGCTTTCTGGTCGTGATTGCTGCTAACGATTCTGCTTCGACCTACTTGGTGAAGTAATCCACCGCGACCACGACATACTTGACTCCCCCTTTACTATGGCATGGGACCGATGAGATCGATTCCCTACATAGAGAATGGCCAGGGGCTGGTCATGGTTATCAGTTGGTGGGAAGGAGCTCGCGGTATGTTCGCGAACCGCTGGTAGTTGTCACACCTTTTAACAAAGTTGTAGATGTCCTCTTGAATTAGAGGCCAGTAGTACCCTTGACGAACAACTTTGTTGGTAAGAGTTCATACGGTGGTGTGATTACCGCAGATCCCTTCATGTATCTCCCTCATGATGTAATCTGCCTCTTCGCTGGATACACATCACAGGAGAGGAGCGCTAAACCTTCGCCTATATAGCTGGTCTCCGATGAGGGTATAACGAGCAGATCTTGTACGCAGAGTCCTTGCCTCGACCTTGTCTTCAGGCAAGGTCCTGTCTCTGAGATATTGAATGATAGGGGTCATCCAGGAATCTAATTCTGTTACATTCACGACCTGTTCGATTGGGCTGATAGTGGGGGTCTCGATGAATTGAACAGGAATGCTCTCAAGTGTATCTGAGTCCAATGATGAGGCTATCCTTGCCAAAGCATCTACCACAGAGTTGCTATCTCTAGGAATCTGTGTGATCGTGAAATGCTTGAACTGCTCGAGTGCGGCCTTAGCTTTCTTCAGATAGCTGATCATATTTTCTTCCTTAGCTTGGTACTCCCCCAAAATCTGGTTAACGACCAGCATGGAGTCACTGTGGATACTGATCGCGGTTGCACCTATTTCTTTGGCCAATTGCAGTCCAGCGAGTAGAGCTTCATACTCAGCCTCATTATTGGTTGCCTTAAAACTGAACCAAAGAATGCCATGAATGCAAGCCCTTTCTGGACTCAAAAGGAGAAAACCTGCCCCGGCCCTCTTTCTGTTCGATAATCCATCGACATAGAGGCTGCAGGTCGATAGATTTTGAGCAGTTTCCTAAATGACTTCTCTGGGCTGTTGCTCCGACTCATTCATCGGATAATATAAGAATTTTGATATGAAGTCGGTAATAGCCTGCCCTTTGAAAGTTGCTTTCGGTCTGTACTTCAGATCAAACTGACTTAATTCCATGGCCTATTTAAGCAACTTACCCGACGCCTCCAATTTCTGGAGGACCTGCCTGAGCGGGTAATTGGTCATTACATGGATCATATGAGCGTGGAAGTAAGGTCACAACTTTCTGGAAGAGATCAGTAGGGCATAAGCTAATCGTTCCATTTCTGGATACCGTATCTTAGAATCTAACAGACGCTTGCTCACGTAATACACTGGCCATTGGACCTTGTTCTCTTCCTGGACTAAGGCTGCACTGACCGGGAATTGAGAAACAAACAGATACAGAAGGAGGATCTCTTGCGGGAGAGGCTTGGACAGAAGAGGTGGCTTCCCGAGGTATTCTTTAATACTCTGAAATGCCTATTCGCACTCGGAGTCCACTCAAACTTTTTATTGGCCTTTAGAACATTGAAGAATGGCAAGCAACGGTCTATTGCTCTCGATATGAAACGACTGAGTGCCGCTATTCGCCCATTGAGGCCCATGACCTGCTTTTTGTTGGTCGGGCTTTTCATATCAAGGAGAGCTTTGATTTTCTGGAGGTTGATCTCTATTCCCCGTTGGTTAACCATGTATCCTAGGAATTTTCCCGAGGATACTCCGAATGAGCACTTGAGGGGGTTTAGCTTCATTTGTATTGTCGGAGGATGTCGAACATCTCAGCGAGATGTGCTATGTGATCTGAAGCGACATGCGACTTGACCAGCATGTCATCTACATAGACCTCCATTGATTTTCTTATCTGTTCGGAGAATATTTGGTTAACCAATTGCTGGTAAGTTGCACCAGCGTTCTTGAGGCCGAAGGGCATAACTTTGTAGCAATACAGCCCCCGATCTGTAACAAATGACGTATGCTCTTCGTCTGGCGCATACAGAGGAATTTGAATGTATCTCGAGTACACATCTATGAAATTCAGCAGCTCGTGCTCGGAGGTGGCATCCACGAGCTAGTCGATTCTGGGCAAGGAAAAGCTATCTTGTGGGCATGCCTTATTGAGGTCGGTGAAGTCAACGCAGGTCCACCACTTACCGTTGGGCTTCTTTACTAGAACCGAGTTGACAACCCAGCTCAGATAGAGTGCTTCTCGGATGGATTCATTCCGAAGGAGATTATCTACCTCAAGTTTCAAGGCAACATATCGCTCCAAATCCATCGCCCTTCTCTTTTAGCGAACCGGCTTGGCTTCACTGTCGATGTTCAGGACATGGCAAATAATATTCGGGTTGATCCCGACCATATCTGCGTGCGACCATGCGAACACATCGATATTTTCTCTGAGGAAGCTCGTCAGTTCAGTGGCGAGCTGGGGGTTAAGATTGCTCACAATCCTTAACACTCTGCTCGGCTCGCTCTGGTTGACCGACACTTCAGACAGATCCTCAACTGGCCCACTGGAAGGGCATTCCTAAATACGAGCATCCATGTTATCCTCGGCTGAGCCAAGTTGTGGCTCAATCCGGCTGTTCGCCATTGCTTGTCGGGGAATGCCGCGCGAGATGCATTTCCCTTTGCACGCCATATGCACTGCTTTTACATAACAGTCGCGAGATATGCGCTGAGATCCACTAACTTCCCCTATCCCTGTCGGGGTGGGGAACTTCATCTTCAGATGGTATATTGAAGTGACCGCCTTGAAATTCCTCAGCAGAGGTCGCCCGAGGATACCATTAAAAGCGGAAGGGCAATCCACTACCAAGAACTCAATTACCTTAGTCACCTCGTCGAAGTCACCCAGCGTGACTGGAAGGAAGATCATTCCTTTGGGGATCAGGTGGTCCCTTTTAAAACCATATAGGGGGATCGAAACGGGCTTCAAGTCGGCCTCGTCTAAGTTCATTATTTTGAAAGTTGTCTGGAACAGGATGTTCACAGCACTTTCGTTATCCACCAACATTCTGTGGATGTCGTAGCGCCCTATCATGAGCGTGATCACGAGAACGTCATCATAGGGATGATGCAATCGAACTGCATCCTTTTCGGAGAACATAACTTCCTCCTCCTTGCGAACCTTTGGTGGTTATCGCGACGTGCTCATCATACTCATGGGGTCATGGTGGGCTACATGAGCATATCTTTCTTGGGCACCTCGCGAGTTACCTGCAAGGTGCGGTCCCCCGAAAATCATTCCGACGCTACAAATACCTTTGTGATCACGACGCTTCTTTCCTGGTTCCCCTTGATTTTTCTCCTATGCGGGAGTGGAGTCATCAATATATTCCTTGAAATGCCCCTGCTTGATGAGGTCTTCGATCGCCTGTTTGAGAGCTCGACACTCATCGGTGTGATGCCCATTATTCCGATAAAAGCGACATTATTTTTACTATTTCTGGTTGATGGGGAATTTTTCATGGGCTCAGGCTCTTCGAGCAGGCTGGCTTTTTCTGATTTGTCAAGAATAGCCGATACAGATGTATTCAAAAGCGTATACTGATTTTTGTCCCGATCGCGATAGGGAACTGGAGCATAAGACTTTTTGGGCTTATAGCACGATTTTTTTCCTTTTCGTTAATCGTCAGTAGCCCATCTGCGATCAACTCTCTTACTTTCCCCCCGACCAGGCGCACTACTTGAAGCGCCAGGGTCGCGGCAGTGGAGCGCCACCATGAAATTTTCAATATGGAGATATTTCTCCGCAAGGTTATAGAAGCGGGTGAGGGAAACATCATCCTTAGCCTGTAACTCTTTCCACAGGTCGGTCTATGGGCGAACTCCCGCTATGATGAGAGTCCAAACAGACTCTCTGGGAGTGTAAGCTACCTTATTAAGTTATCTGTGGAATCGATCGAAGTACGATTGGAGGGATTCATCCCTCTCTTGCCTTATGTTGCTGAGATAGCTCAAATGCATTGAGAACTTTCGGTTTGCTTGGAAATGCCTTAGGAACGTCGCGCTCATCTGAGGCCACAAGTTGATCGATCCCGCTGGGAGCGACCTAAACCATCGTTTGGCATGAGAGGTTAGAGTTACTGCCAAACAACGGCACTTTGCCAAATCTGAAACCTGGTGAAGCTCCATCAGGTCGTTGAATCCATACAAGTGATCTTGCGGACCAGAATTTCCATCGAACGCCCGCATATCGGGCATTCTAAATCTTGATAGGAGAGGGGACGGCTAATATTGCCGGAGAAAAGGGAGACGCTGCTGCCACCTACCCTTATTCATTTTGCTGAGCTTTAAGTTGATCTAGAGCTCGCAGTAGCTCCTCAATCTGAGGCAGCGGAGCTATTTGGGGATTGCTTTCACCCATGCGAGTTCGCCCCTCACGATTGCAGTTGAGGAAAGTCCAGAGGTCAGATTCCTCTTCGCCTCGGCCGGCAGTTCCGACCGCCCTTGACACATGTTGGCTAGAGTCGTGTGATGACAATGAATGGTGCAGGAAATTTTCACGACCTCTGCGATGGTATGAACCGCCCCGCAAAGTGTGGGAACCTCCCGCATGATGACGACCAAGATCGTTTCTCTGGCAGTGATGAGAATCGCCCCGCCCAGCACTTTTATGGGGGTGTTCATGCGACGTGGCATAGGACGGCTCGGGTTGTAACTTTTCACTGAGTCTTAACGCCACCGGTATTCTACTCGGGACGTGGTCAGTGTTCGCCACCCCTTTAGAGCCCTTAGGCCCTCTGTTCACCACTTGCTTACCCTTCCTTCGACGCCCTGCAGTGCGCGTAGCTTAGGCTATTGCCCTTCTCTGCCCTTTCGCTCGACCTGCAGGCGTTTTTGGCCGTTGCACCACCCCAGCTGATTCGAGTGGCACGCCCCAGTCCAAATAGTCCAAACTTCGGTTGACCGTTTGGAAAGTATTGTCAAACGTCTCCAGGTAGTTTCTGATGGTAAGGTCAAGTTGTGAACTTCAAGGGATATCGCCTGCGACATTTTGTGGAACTGAGGGCACCTTAGGAGAAGTGTCCTCCTGTACTTGGGGGATCTCCTCAGCACCATGACTGGTTCGCTCAGGTTCGAATCGGCGGGCCATTTGCTGCTGTAGGACCAGTTAGTCAGAGATTCTCCTGATGAAGGACAAATACTAAATCAGGCCCTCCTTCTAGCGCCAAACTGTTGATGCATGATTTTGACACCAACTAACTGCACGTGTGAAATGCTGAGCTGGCCCAGAAGACACACGTGAATAGGGGATTGGGGATGTAAATAGTGGCAAGACAATGTTTAAAGTGGTTCGGATGCTTGACCAAACGAATCCTACGTCCACTAATATTGTATTGATAATTAAAGGATCAAGTCGCGGCTTAGCGAGCTGATGAGAATACAAATGAGAGAGAGAGAGAGAGAGAGAGAGAGAGAGAGAGAGAGATTACAGAGAAAAGATAGCTAATCAAGAGTAAAATGAGTGAATCCCACAAACGGGGGAGAAGCTCTCTATTTATATTGGGATACATTGAGGTAATCATTAATGAATCCATAAAAAGAGGTCATGTTCCGTGCAAATCTTCCTTTACGTCCCGTTATTCACCTACTCGCGCGATCTCCTCGGTTTATGTAGGGATTGGACACGTGGACGACCTCCAGCCTTTCGTCAGTCTGGCCGCCAACATGCGACGTGGCCGTGCCTGAATGGTTGCAGATCTGCCCAGACCTTGACCAATTGCGCTGACTGGGCTCTACGTTAGCCATACTTTTCTAGGCATAACAATATTGAATTATGTTGAGTTGTTGTGAATTGTATGTCAATATAAACCTATTTATATAAAGTGTGATGAATATTACAATAATGATACAATCTCTGCAATAAATTAAATAGAATAATATCTAAAATACAATAAGAATGAGAATAATATCATATGTTCTCATTCCATATTCGTATGTCACTAAAGAAAAAAAAATAATTGAAATTAAGACAAACTTAAGGGTGTTTTGAGAAAATCTCTATTAAATATTTGTATGAAAATATCAAACTCTGAACGTTGATGACTTCAAACACATTAAGGTATAACGGATATTCAACTGAAGTTTCTTGGAAGAGATACAAATGTATAATGATACTTATCGATAGAAGGCTTTCAGGTTTCAAATAAAGATAAAGATAAGATAAGATCAGCTGATTATTATTTAGTATTTTAATTTATTTGATAAAAGAAAATTCCAAGTGGGCTTATATAATTTAAACCCGGTCCATGAAGGCCCATTTCGAGGTGACCGTATCCGCAGTGAGTGATAAGGAAGAATCCAAAACAAATGAGTCAACTATTAATCCTCAACAACAAAGTACGCATCGTACTCATCGTAAAGTAATAAAAGTAGAAAACGACTGCATACCCCAATCACACCACCAAATATCAATTCATCCACATTTCCACGCATCACCGCACCAGCCGTCAAATTCAATTTCAACCGTCAATCACGATTCGCAAATCTCCAACCTCAAATCAATTCATCCACATTTCCATACCCCAGCCGTACTCATCGTAAAGTAATAAAAGTAGAAAACGACTGCATACCCCAATCACACCACCAAATATCAATTCATCCACATTTCCACGCATCACCGCACCAGCCGTCAAATTCAATTTCAACCGTCAATCACGATTCGCAAATCTCCAACCTCAAATCAANTAATGTCTGTATTTGTTGTATTGTTGCAGGATGGGAATGAAGTGTTCTTCAGAATTAAACGAAGCACCCAACTCCGCAAACTCATGACTGCTTACTGTGATCGACAGTCAGTAGAGTTAAACTCAATTGCTTTCTTGTTTGATGGGCGCAGGCTCCGCGGAGAGCAGACGCCAGATGAGGTATTTTCTTGAATGTGTGGTTTATTGGTTATTAATGTTAGATACTTTTGAATAAAGCATTGATGGCATACTCATTAGAGAGGCCTCAACTATAATTAATCTTGATTGTTTGTATGAAATTCTTTCAAACCTAATTCATTCCTGCCTCGTGAGCAACATCTTAATCAATATGATATATATGAGTCAACATTGATTTTGAAGTATTTGATTACACTAGTTTGTCGATAGAATATTTGTTGGCAGTGGTACTTACTGCTATTTGGTACTTTCTTTGGGAAATAGCTTGAGATGGAGGATGGAGACGAAATTGATGCAATGCTCCATCAGACTGGAGGCGGACGTTAAATGCAACTTGGACTAAATGGAGAGCCTCGGTAGACTTGACGTCAAGTTTCATTTGCTACGTCTATGGATATATCTTATGTAAATGACATGGATTTTCTAATGAGCTTGAACGAAAGTTGGTCGGGGTTTTTTTATTAATGATGTCCGTATTAGCCTATTGTATTATATCATATCATATCCATCGATTATGATGGTTTTGTTTGCTACTATATGGGAGAATGATGTTCTTCAGTATTCACCCTACGGAATTTCGGTTTTCTGTTTTATAATTTCTTTTAGTTATGTGTGGTACGTTTCTGAATATATATGCATGGGTATATGGTTTTATTCTTACAAGAGTAAGATAGTCTGTAGGCGGAGTACTAAATATTTCTTATGAAATATAATAAAATATAGTGTATCAATATCAATTTGTCTATGGGTATGTGGTTTTTATTATTAATTTATGGTTGTCTTTTACCATTTATACTGCGCCTGGTAGTTTCATCGTATACGATGTAGTGCGCCGATGAGCGGATTGATAGGAATTTCCAGACTGGTAATGAGCATAGTTATTACTGTAGAGCTGGGCATTTGCCAAACTTCAAAACCCGATCTTAAGATCGGTCCTTAAGAGGATTGGACCTAGGAGGTTTGGTCCCAGACCCTCCTCTAAGGCTCGGGCCTAGGATTGGTCCCAATCTGGGCCTAAAATTTTTTTTTTTTAATTTAGTCCTTTTTTAAATTACATAAAATCTCTTTTAATTTTAAAATAAATATAAATTACGAGGGTTAAAATAAAATTTTATAAAATTTATAAAAATTCTTCAAAGTCTAAAAAATTTATAAAATTTATAAATTTTACTCATAAAAAATATTAAAATTCTCCTATAAAATTTTGTTTTGTCTCCAAAATATAAAAAAAAATTGAGGGGGGAAAAGAAGTTATCCAAGTCCTATGGGACTAGTCTTAGGATCAATCCTGGATCCATGGGACTAGGCCTAAGGTCTGGTTTGGGTCTTAATTTTTTGGGTCCTAATTTTTCTTATGAGCCTGGGATTGGTCTCTGTCGACCTCTAGTTATTAATATCTTACGATTCGATACGAGTTTTTAAAGATATGTATGAGAGTATCTTAAATTTTTTGATACATTAATATGTATTTTACGATATGATATGTATCAGTTTTTATTCTTAAAAATATCGATAACTTTATCAATTTGGGTCGTAGACCCCAAAAAAATTTAGGTTGAATTTGATTCATCTAACCTGATTCACTAAAGCCAACCTAAATTAACTTATTTTATATAGAGAAAATGAAAAAGAAGATGTGTTGCTCATTTTGTATGAGAATAATAACACAAGTAGAGATTAAAGTTTCGTTTGGTTCATTATCAGATAGTTTTTAGAATAATATTTTGAAAAAAATTAAATTAGATGGGTTTTACGATGTAAAATTTTGAAAATTAACAAAAATATCTTTTATATTTATTTATTTATTAACAAAAATATCTTTTATATTTATTTATTTACTAAACACCTCTATAATAAAATATTCAAAGTTAACAAAAACACTACTAATCCACTCATTAAATACGAACAGTCGGCCACCACCGTCGGAGGGTGGCCAAAGTCATCGTATCGATGCATAACCGGTTAGATCTTGTCGTTTGTACGCTGATCTGGCCTTTTTTGACCAGATCCATTGTGGATCTGGCCGAAAAAGGTCAGATCTACGGCTAGATTTGATCTACAGCTAGATCTAGCCGTTGATGGCCATATCTAGCCGCATAACGACTGCCAAAGATATGGTCGTCGTTGATGGCGATCATATCTCAACCGTCGTTGACGATTGTCTACGGCCATAGATCTGACCTTTTTCGGCCAGATCCAGCATGGATCTGGTCGGAAAAGGCTAGATCGGCGCACTACCAGCCAGATTTAGCTGATAGTGCACCATTACACCAGATTCTGACCACCAAATCTGGTAAATTTGGGTTGTTGGGGTGTTTTGTTAATTTTTAATTTTTTTTTTTTTAGCTAAATTAACAAATTTAAGGGGTTTAAAAGAAATTGAATAATTTAGAATCATATTTTGAAAATAGTAGAACCAAACACAAATTTTGTGTTAACTTTTTTGGGAAAACTAGAATAGTGTTCCCAATATATGTACCAAATGGAGCCATAGATATTGACATTGATCTTGAAAATACATTCTTAATTTTGTAATTTATTTTATTATGTAATACCATAATTTAATGTCAATAATATTATAAAATTCATTAATTAATCTTGAGGATGATATTAATTTTTAGAAAATTTTTATTATTTTTTAAAAAGTGTATCCTACGATATGATATACGATATATTATTCGAAAAATTAAGATTTTGATACACGATACGAACGCGATTTGACAACCATGGTATTGAATACTAATTGCTGATTGATGATATTAAATATTTGTAGTGTGTACGCGCTTAGTATTTTTCTCTTAAATGCACTTTCTCTCCTTCTGTACCGACCGTCGTAATTCACTAATTAGAAACTGTAACTTAACAAAAGATTGATACATTCGCATCCTTTAGTTTTTTTTTTTTTTTTTCTCTCGCTCTCTTTTTTTAATAATCATTTAAAAAAAAAAAAAAAACTTGTTGATATATGAAGCACAAAACGGTAACATTTCTGCACAAATATCACTAATTGAAACACTGTCGTTTCACTGCAAGTAAAAACAAATCTCGGCCACTGAATTAAAGCAGATCCAGCGGTCAGGATTAACTCAAGAGGTCAGACTATATAACCTGAGAGTCTTTACACATAACAGTATTTTTTTTTCTGCTACTCATTCTCTTGCGCGACAGATTTGATTTTTGCCCTTGTTTTAAGAGTTTGTTTCAATCTTGTTTTGAGTTGCAAATCTGTGTAATCCTAGGTGAGGGTAAGTTGTTCCTTCAGGTTTAAAGAGACTGGGTCAGGTCATCTCTAGGGATTTTTCAGGTTTGTATGAGTGGGTTTCTTGATTGAGATTTGGGTAAATCGGTGAGAGCCTTCTGTAATCTATAATAACACCTTATTCCTAGTGCAGTGAGCCCTAAAATTCCTGGAGCTCAACGTGGATGTAATCTTTCCTTTGTGGAAAGGTGAACCACAGTATATTTGATGTTCTTGAGTTGATTGCGTTTTGGATTTGGTATTTTGTGTGTACTTTGGGTTAATTATGTTTGCGATTAGGCAGATAATTGATAGTGAATTTACATAATAGTGGTATCAGAGTGAGGTTAGTGTTGTCAATCCTCGGGTTTCTTGATTTTTTCGAAATCTAGGGTTTGGTCATAAATTGGGGATTTCTTGATTAAAGGCTTGGGAGAGTCTAGGATTAGAAATTCTGTAAATTTGGGATATCAATTTGAGAAGGGGAGGCAAATCTTGGTTTCTTTCTTGGGTCCTGTTTAGTAATCACCAAACACAAAAACAAACACATCCAATCATGAGTACAATTAGGGTTGAGATCACCCATTACGATGGAAAAATCGATTTTGGAAGTTGGAGGAAGAAGATGAAAGCTTTGTTGTCCCACAACAAAGTGTCTATCGCGCTAGAGAAGGATTCCACCAAGTGGCTGGAGGAGAAGCTGAAGAAGAAGGCCGAAATGGATGAAGAGGACTACAACTTAACCATCATGAACCTTGCTGACAGTGTATTGTGGAAGGTCGATGGGTTTGAAACCCCAATCGGCCTCTGGGGTAAGCTTGAATCTCTCTATTCATTACAATCAGCTCCTAATCTAGCATACTTAAAAGGTGCCCTATTTTCGTATAACATGGATAGTAATATGACTATTGAGGAGAACCTAGATGAGTTCTTGAAAATGACCCTAGTTCTCAAGGGTATTGCTCAAGAACTCAGTGATTCCAGTCTTGCCATGATTCTTTTAAATTCTTTGAATGATGAATATCAGGTCGTAAAGAATGCTTTGCAGTACACTGGCACTGTACCTAGTGTAGATTTAATTGTTGCTGGTTAAAAGCTAGGGAGTTAGAACTTAGGGTTCAGAAAAGGAGTGGTAATAGCCTATTTTTTAAGGGTAAGGGCGAAATTAGTCAGGTGGGTAGTAATCCTCATCACAGTAGTGGCTCTAGGAAAAAAGAAGAGTAAAAACACTAATAAATCCAAAGGGGAAACCCGAAAATGTTTCTATTGCACTAAGACTGGTCATCTAAAGAAAAACTGTTTTGAGTGAATTAGGAAACAGAAACAGTCCAACACTGAGAGCAATTTAGCCACCACCAAACATAGCATTGAAGAATCATAGGTCCTAACAGTGTCTAAGGCTGATACCATAGGGGAATGGGTGTTAGATTCTGGTTGCTCATTCCATATGAGTCCAAACAAAAATTGGTTCCAAGATTTTGAACCAAATGACTGTGAGACCGTGTTTATGGGAAACAACAATGCTTGCAAGGTTCAGGGAGTTGGTAGCATATCCTTGAGGATGAATAATGGAAAACTAGTCAAACTTACTAAGGTTAGGTATATTCCAAATCTTAAGAGAAACTTGATTTCATTAGGAACCTTGGATGAATCTGGGTGTTGTTATAAGGCAGAAAATGGTTGCTTAAATGTCTATAAGGGTAATAGCATAGTACTTAGTGGGGTAAAGAAGAATGGGCTGTACATCTTGAGTGGGGGCTACTGTTCTGATTGTTTGCTTACTACAAATCTGACAGACACTGAAAAATGGCATTTAAGGTTCGGGCATATGAGCCAAAAAGGCCTAGATACTCTAAGTAAACAGAGGTTGTTTGGTAGGGATGTCATTAGTGATATGAAGTTTTGTGAAACATGTATAATGGGAAAGCAACATAGGCTAAGTTTTCATAAGGGGACACACCAGGCCACTAACTGTTTAAAATACTTACATGCTGATCTTTGGGGGCCAGGAAAGATAAAATCTCATGGGGGCAGAAGCTATTTCCTGTTGATAATGGATGACTACAATAGGAAAGTGTGAGTTTTTCTGCTTAGATCTAAAAATAAGGCCTTAGATAGGTTCAAGAATTGGCAAACACTTGTAGAAAACCAAGTGGACTGAAAGGTTAAAGCCCTTAGGACAGATAATGGGCTAGGGTTTTGCAATTCAGAGTTTGATAGATACTGTAGTGATCAGGGTATTCTGAGACATAGAACAGTCAGGGGAACTCCTCAGCAAAATGGAGTAGCTGAGAGAATGAATAGGATGTTGTTAGAAAAGTTGAGATGCTTACTATTCACATCAGGATTACCTAAGACCTTTTGGGGAGAAGCCCTCAACACTGCAGCATATTTAGTCAACAGAAGCCCCTCTAGTGCAATATGTTTCACCTGTCCCGAGGAGAGATGGTCCAAAAGAAAGCCAAACCTAAACCACCTTAGGGTCTTTGTGTGTGCAGCCTATGCACACACAAATGAAGGGAAGCTTGAACCTAGGTCATTAAAGTGTGTCTTCCTCGGTTATTAAGAAGGGACAAAGGGGTTTAGATTATGGGAAAGAACATCACCAGGGGTTAAAGTAATAATCAGTAGGGATGTTATTTTTAATGAAAATATTTTTCCTTGCAAAACTACTAACCCTGATGCAAATACCTCTAGCATTGATCCTATGAGTCAAGAACCAAATGTAAGGACACAAATTGAGGTGGAGCCCTCAAGTATTCAACCTGATAAAGAAAATCCAGATCAAGAAACTGAAATGGCAGCCTTGGATCATGACCAGGAGGGTGAACCAGCTGAGAACTTAGAACCAACCCAAGAAGAACCCCTAGCACAGTATCAGCTAACCAGAGACAAGGCATGTAGAGAGATAAAACCTCCAACAAGATATTCCTATACTGATCTAATCTTCACTGCACTAGTGGCTGGAGCTGAAGTACTAAGATCAGAACCTGATAGCTATGAGGAAGCAATCAGATCAAAGGACAAGGACAAATGGCAGACTGCAATGGAGGAAGAAATGCAGTCTCTGGAGGTCAACAGAACCTGGTCCTTAGTCCCAACTCCAAAGGATCAGAAACCAGTTGAATGTCGATGGCTATTCAAGGTAAAATAAGGTATAAACTCTTCTGACCCTCCTAGGTATAAGGCTAGACTTGTAGCTAAAGGTTACACACAAAGAGAAGACATTGATTTTAATGAAATTTTCTCACTAGTAGTTAAGTATAAAACAATTAGGATTATGTTGGCTGTAGTTGCACATTATGGCCTAGAACTAGAGCAACTAGACGTTAAGACTGCTTTTCTACATAGAAACATAGAAGAGAACATGTATATGAGACAACTTGCCGGATTTGTTGATAAAAGACTTCCAAATTATGTGTGTTTGCTTCATAAGTCATTGTATGGACTGAAACAGTCCCCTAGGCAATGGTACAAAAGGTTTGATGCATTTATTTTAAGCATTGGGTTTAGTAGGAGAAAATATGATATTTGCTTTTATTTTTCTTTGGATAATGATATGCCTTTGTATTTACTCTTATATGTGGATGATATACTCTTGATTAGCAAATCTAAATCTAGAATAGATGGACTAAAGGGTAAACTTAAGGCTGAGTTTGACATGAAAGACTTAGGATATGCTAAAAGGATACTAGGAATGGTAATACATAGGAAAAGAAACTGTCATGAATTAAGATTAACTCAAAGCTCCTACTTGGTAAAACTAGTTTCTAAGTTTAATATGGCTGAATCAAAGGTTGTATCTATGCCTTTAGCCAGTCATTTCACCCTTAGTAAACACTAATGTCCCAAAACAGATTATGAGTTAATAAAAATGGAACAAGTCCCTTATGCAAATGTAATAGGGTCAATTATGTATGCCATGATTAGCACCAGACCTGACCTTTCCTTTGCTATGTCATTGCTGAGTCATTTTATGTCAAATCCTGGGTCAGAACACTGGTCAGCTCTTAAATGGGTTCTGAGGTATATTAATGGCACTTCTCATATTGGTTTGGAATATTGTAAAAGATATAATTCACTTGATCTTGTGAGCTTTGTAGATTCTGATTTTGCAGGGAATAAATACACAAGAAAATCAATCACTGCTTATGTCTTCACATTGGGAAGAAACTATGTGAGCTGGAAATCCCAGCTCCAACCTATTGTGGCACTCTCCTCAACTGAGGTAGAGTATGTGGTTGTTGCTAATGTATTCAAGAAAGCACTATGGCTCCAAGGAATACTAACTGAAGTGAATTTGATTGATGGAGTAGCCACAATTTATTCAGACAGCCAAAGCGCCATTCACCTGAGCAAGAATCATGTCTATCATGACAGGACCAAACATGTGGATGTGAGATTTCACTTTGTCCGAGATCTAGTTGCCCAAGGATTGATCATCTTGAAGAAAGTCCTAACTGAAGATAATCCTGCTGATATGGGTACCAAGATTGTCACTGTTGCCAAGTTCAAGCACTGCTTGAACCAACTATCTGTCAAGTAATAGGCAGCAACCTAATAGGCAGCAACCGAGCTGTGAAAGGAGTTTATGATGGTCAGCTGCACTTAGGAATTCTGGGTTGTAAAAGTTTTGAGCTTCAAGGTGGAGAATTGTTGATATATGAAGCACAAAACGGTAACGTTTCTGCACAAATATCACTAATTGAAACATTGTCGTTTCACTGCAAGTAAAAACAAATCTCAGCCACTGAATTAAAGCAGATCTAGCGGCCAGGATTAACTCAAGGGTCAGACTATATAACGTGAGAGTCTTTACACAGAACAGTATTTTTTTTTTTTTAATGCTCGTTCTCTTGCGCGACAGATCTGATTTTAGCCCTTGTTTTCAGAGTTTGTTTCAATCTTGTTTTGAGTTGCGAATCTGTGTAATCCTGGGTGAGGGCAGGTTTTTCCTTCAGGTTTAGAGAGATTGGGTCAAGTCATCTCTAGGGATTTTTCAGGTTTGTGTGAGTGGTTTTCTTGATTGAGATTTGGGTAAATCGGTGAGAGCCTTTTGTAATCTGTAATAACACTTTATTCCTAGTGCAGTGAGCCCTAAAATTCCTGGAGCTCAACATGGATGTAATCTTTCCTTTGTGGAAAGGTGAACCACGGTATATTTGGTGTTCTTGAGTTGATTGTGTTTTGGATTTGGTATTGTGTGTGCGCTTTGGGTTAATTATGTTTGTGATTAGGCAGATAATTGATAGTGAATTTACATAACAAAACATTTAACTTTTCAATTTAACAGAAAAGTGGCTTAGATTATATACGTAGGCAGAAGAATACTGGCAATTGCACTTCAAGAGTAACATATTCTTAACAGCAGCTTGAAATCCTTGGCATGTCCTTGGCCACTGCCTAACAATTTCAACTTCAATTAAGCTGGAGAGAATAACTTTAAGCTGGCAATTGAAGCCTTTTGTTGCTCTTCCAGCTGCAACACATTTTGATAACGAGGGAGTCAGACAACAGAAATCATCAGACAAAAAACAAAATATTTGAGAACACAGGATGTTCACCTGTCCAAATAATAATAGAAGAAGTCAGTATAAAGCAACGTTTGAACTATTCCTGAAATCCACGCTGAAAAAAGCAACAAAAGAAGAAATAGAATAGCTTAAAGAAGGATGACAATAGAAAGTTCATGTAGCTGATAAAAACACACTAGATGAACAGGCAAACATAACTAGGAATTACATCTCTAAAGAGATGAGATTTGAAGAACTTTCTTCAACACGGCACACTTGGTCTCCAAGTTCAACCGTTAAGGGTGTTTTCTCTACGCAAAAGAATTAGGAATCAAGAATTTTGTTGTGAAATGTATGTTACACTGGCCATATACACCTCTGTAAAGACACATGGCCTCTGTCGTACTTATCCATTCCAAAAGGTATGTTATCGTGAAATGTTTGTTATTACATTAGTGTATTTTGTTCAGATAAAACTCAGATTAGGAGATAATCTGAACCGTGGGGACTGAGGGGAAAAAATCCTCAGCACAGCTTGATTTAAGAGACAGAATTGGACTCATGCAAAGGCATACATGAGGGCTCAGGCGAGTACATGCATGTGAAAGTATACATAAATAACAGACATATGAGCACACACTAACAAATAATGAGAGAGACGTAAATAGCTCACGTATCCAATGAACAAAGTGTGGTTCAGTGAAGTAGCGATAAATCCAGTTGAGAATGTATAATCCTCTGTAAGCACTGCATTAAGACAGAAATAACAAGTTTAAATAATATATTATGGGTTTCCTCTTAGCAACAGGCCAAGTAACATCTGTGCTAGATTTAATCTATGAAGTCTCTGAGACACAATTTCTGCAAGAATTAAGTCATGAAGTCTTTTGAGACACAATTTTTAAGAATCTGATAATATGCCTGAAATCTGAGTATAAATTTTCAAGAAAAAATCATTAATGGAGTTCCTTGCCTTTATGACAATGTATATCAACCAGAACTACATCACATCAATTCATTTCTAAACTTAATATTTAGGTGACAAATAAAGCAACAAATGCTCAATTTTAAGATGAAAGGGGACAAGGATCAAAAGTAAATGACAGCATACCCAAGAAGAAAAACGTATTGGCCAGTCAAATTGTCAATGTTTCTAGTCCTCTGTAACAGTACAAGTTGAGGAAGTATAGCAACAGCTTCTAAAAACACTGAAAACGTCCACATCACCTGAGACAATTCATAAACACAACACAATTAAAACAAATGAAAAAGAAAACGCAGAAAAAAAAAAAAAAACAAAAAAAATACTAAACCTCTTTAAAAGTGAATTTCTCATGAATAAGAAGAGCCAAGAGAAAGCAAGGCAAAACAAGGAAGAAATGGCGGAAGGTATCTTGGTCTTTATTATAAGACCTTCGAACAATCTTATGATGCCTCATATACCAAACAATTGAAAATGAGCTACCCAAGAATATTAACTTCATGATTGTATTGTATAAGGGTATAAAATCAGAAAATATATCCAAGTAACGAGTAGCAAAAACGACAGCGTATAGTTCTTGCGTCTTCAATGAAATACCTGCACACAACATTATTTATGTACCAAATTTCAAACATAACAACAACAATAATAATTCTGAGAGTAGTGTGATGAAATGCGGTTAAAAATGTACTGGCACAAGATTTAATGGTGTGGATCTTGAGGAGCAAGACGAGAACGCTGAACAGGTGAGTCATGTCACCTGTTAATCTGAATATATTCATCTTCGATCCGATCGAATATTATAAATTCTTCACCACTATCAAGCACACAAGTTTGTTTGGTGAGAAGGGAGAAGGAGATGGAGGAAGTAATAGATCCCGGGTGGAGTTGGAGAATTAAATGATATAAATTTATTTTTTTCCTTTTACCTAGTTTTTCAAGAGTAATATATAAGCAAACCGAAATTTAAAAAACGGTGCGAAAGGGAAAAATAATAATAATAATAATAATAACAATAATTCAAAATAATTAGTAATAAAAAGAAACATATGCTAGAGTAGGTGCTAATCTGACAGGGCGAGACTAACTATAAAAATATTAGCCACATTAGCAGGCATCTTCCAAGTTCAGTGGTTGGTAAGGATAAGATAGGATAGGAATATACTCCAGTTTTTTAATATATTAAATTATCCTTTGGATGTTTGTAGGAGAAAATATGATATTGCTTTTATTTCTTGGATATGATATGCCTTTGTATTTACTCTTATATGTGGATGATAACTCTGATTAGCAAATCTAATCTAGAATAGATGGACTAAAGGGTAAACTAGGCTGAGGTTGACATGAAAGACTAGGATATGCTAAAAGGATACTAGGAATGGTAATACATAGGAAAAGAAACGTCATGAATTAAGATAACTCAAAGCCTACTTGGTAAAAACTAGTTCTAAGTTTAATATGGCTGAATCAAAGGTTGTATCTATGCTTAGCCAGTCATTCACCTTAGTAAACACTAATGTCCCAAAACAGATTATGAGTAATAAAAATGGAACAAGTCCCTATGCAAATGTTAGGGTCAATTATGTATGCCATGATTAGCAACAGACCTGACCTTTCCTTTGCTTGTCATTGCTGAGTCATTTTATGTCAAATCCTGGGTCAGAACACTGGTAGACTCTTAAATGGGTTCTGAGGTATATTAATGGCACTTCAATTGGTTTGGAATATTGTAAAAGATATAATTCACTTGATCTTGTGAGCTTTGTAGATTCTGATTTTGACAGGAATAAATACACAAGAAAATCAATCACTGTTATGTCTTCACATGGGAAGAAACTTGTGAGCTGGAAATCCCAGCTCCAACCATATGGCACTCTCCTCAACTGAGGTAGAGTATGGGTTGTTGCTAATGTATTCAAGAAAGCACTATGGCTCCAAGGAATACTAACTGAAGTGAATTTGATTGATGGAGTAGCACAATTTATTCAGACAGCCAAAGCGCCATCACCTGAGCAAGAATCATGTCTATCATGACAGGACCAAACATGTGGATGTGAGATTTCATTTGTCCGAGATCTAGTTGCCAAGGATTGATCATCTTGAAGAAAGTCCTAACTGAGATAATCCTGCTGATAGGGTACCAAGATTGTCACTGTTGCCAAGTTCAAGCACTGCTTGAACCAACTATCTGTCAAGTAATAGGCAGCAACCTAATAGGCAGCAACCGAGCTGTGAAAGGAGTTTATGATGGTCAGCTGCACTTAGGAATTCTGGGTTGTAAAGTTTGAGCTTCAAGGTGGAGAATTGTTGATATATGAAGCACAAAACGGTAACGTTTCTGCACAATATCACTAATTGAAACATTGTCGTTCACTGCAAGTAAAAACAAATCTCAGCCACGAATTAAAGCAGATCTAGCGGCCAGGATTAACTCAAGGGTCAGACTATATAACGTGAGAGTCTTTACAAAGAACAGTTTTTTTTTTTTTAATGCTCGTTCTCTTGCGCGACAGATCTGATTTTAGCCCTTGTTTTCAGAGTTTGTTCAATCTTGTTTTGAGTTGGAATCTGGTAAATCCTGGGTGAGGGCAGGTTTTTCCTTCAGGTTTAGAGGATTGGGTCGTTTCAGGGATTTTTCAGGTTTGGTGTGAGTGGTTTTCTTGATTGAGATTTGGGTAAATCGGTGAGAGCCTTTGTAATCTGTAATAACACTTTATTCCTAGTGCAGTGAGCCCTAAAATTCTGGAGCTCCAACATGGATGTATCTTTCCTTTGTGGAAAGGTGAACCACGGTATATTTGGTGTTCTTGAGTTGATGTGTTTGGATTGGAGAATGCTTTGCAGTACACTGGCACTGTACCTAGTGTAGATTTAATTGTTGCTGGGTTAAAAGCTAGGGAGTTAGAACTTAGAGTTCAAAAAAAGAGTGGTAATAGCCTGTTTGTTAAGGGTAAGGGCGAAATTAGTTAGGTGGGTAGTAATCATCATCACGGCAGTAGCTTTAGAAACAAAAAGAAGGGTAAAAACACTAATAAACCCAAAGGGGAAACCCGAAAATGTTTCTATTGCAATAAGACTGGTCACCTAAAGAAAAACTGTTTTGAGTGGATTAGGAAACAGAAACAGTCCAACACTGAGAGCAATTTAGCCAGCACTAAACATAGCATTGAAGAATCAGAGGTCCTAACAGTTTCTAAGGCTGATACCATAGGGGAATGGGTGTTAGATTCTGGTTGCTCTTTCCACATGAGCCCAAACAAAAATTGGTTCCAAGATTTTGAACCAAATGACTGTGAGACTGTGTTTATGGGAAATAACAATGCTTGTAAGGTTCAGGGAGTTGGTAGCATATCTTTGAGGATGAATAATGGAAAACTTGTCAAACTTACTAAGGTTAGATACATTCCAGATCTTAAGAGAAACTTGATTTCTTTGGGAACCTTGGATGAATCTGGGTGTTGTTATAAGGTAGAAAACGGTTCCTTAAATATCTATAAGGGTAACAGCATAGTACTTAGTGGGGTAAAGAGGAATGGGCTGTACATCTTGAGTGGAGGTTACTGTTCTGATTGTTTGCTTACTACAAATCTGACAGACACTGAAAATTGGCATTTGAGGTTAGGGCATATGAGCCAAAAAGGCCTAGATACTCTAAGTAAACAGGGGTTTTTTGGCAGGGATGTCATTAGTGATCTGAAGTTTTGTGAAACATGTATAATGGGGAAGCAACATAGGCTAAGTTTTCATAAGGGGACACACCAGGCCACTAACTGTTTAGAATACTTACATGCTGATCTTTGGGGGCCAGAAAAGATAAAAACTCATGGGGGCAACAGCTATTTCCTGTCGATAGTGGATGACTATAGTAGGAAAGTTTGGGTTTTTCTGCTTAGATCTAAAAATGAGGCTTTAGATAGGTTCAAGAATTGGCAAACACTTGTAGAAAATCAGGTGGACAGAAAGGTTAAAGCCCTTAGGACAGATAATGGGTTAGAGTTTTGCAATTAAGAGTTTGATAAATACTATAGTGATCAAGGTATTTTGAGACACAGAACAGTCAGGGGAACTCCTCAGCAAAATGGAGTAGTTGAGAGAATGAATAGGACGTTGTTAGAAAAGGTGAGATGCTTACTATTCACATCAGGATTACCCAAGACCTTTTGGGGAGAAGCCCTCAATACTGCTGCATATTTAGTCAACAGAAGCCCTTCTAGTGCCATAGGTTTCACCTGTCCCGAGGAGAGATGGTCCAAAAGAAAGCCAAACCTAGACCACCTTAGGGTCTTTGGGTGTGCAGCCTATGCACACACAAATGAAGGGAAGCTTGAACCTAGGTCACTAAAGTGTGTTTTCCTAGGTTATCAAGAAGGCACTAAGGGGTTTAGATTATGGGAAAGAACATCACCAGGGGTTAAAGTAATAATCAGTAGGGATGTTATTTTTAATGAAAATATTTTTCCTTGCAAAACTACTAATCATGATGCAAGTACCTCTAACATTGATCCTATGAGTCAAGAACCAAATGCAGGGACACAAATTGAGGTGAAGCCCTCAAGTATTCAACCTGATGAAGAAAAATCAAATAAAGAAACTGAAATGGTAGCCCTGGATCATGACCAGGAGGGTGAACCAGTTGAGATCTTAGAACCAACCCAAGAAGAGTCCCTGGCATAGTATCAGCTAACCAGAGACAGGACCCGTAGAGAGATCAGACCTCCAGCAAGATACTCTTATGCTAATTTGATCTTCACTGCACTGGTGGCTGGAGCTGAAGTACTAAGATCAGAACCTGATAGCTATGAGGAAGCAATCAGATCAAAGGACAAAGACAAATGGTAGGTTGCAATGGAGGAAGAAATGCAGTCCCTGAAGGTCAATAGAACCTGGTCCTTAGTCCCAACTCCAAAGGATCAGAAACCAGTTGAATGTCGATGGTTATTCAAGGTAAAAGAAGGTATAAACTCTTCTGACCCTCCTAGGTATAAGGCTAGACTTGTAGATAAAGGTTACACACAAAGGGAAGGCATTGATTTTAATGAAATTTTCTCACCAGTAGTTAAGTATAAAACAATTAGGATTATGTTGGCTGTAGTTGCTCATTATGACCTAGAACTAGAGCAACTAGATGTTAAGACTGCTTTTCTACATGGAAACCTAGAAGAGAAAACATATATGAGACAACCTGCTGGATTTGTTGATAAAAACTTCCAAATTATGTGTGTTTGCTTCATAAGTCATTGTATAGACTGAAACAGTCCCCTAGGCAGTGGTACAAGAGGTTTGATGCATTTATTTTAAGCATTGGGTTTAATAGGAGCAAATATGATAGTTGCTTTTATTTTGCTTTGGATAATGATATGCCTTTGTATTTACTCTTATATGTGGATGACATGCTCTTGATTAGCAAATCTAAATCTAGGATAGATGGGCTAAAGAATAAACTTAAGGCTGAGTTTGACATGAAAGACTTAGGATGTGCTAAAAGGATATTAGGAATGGTAATACATAGGAATAGAGACTGTCATGAATTAAGATTAACTCAAAGCTCCTACTTGAAAAAATTAGTTTCTAAGTTTAAAATGGCTGAATCAAAGGTTGTATCTATGCCTTTAGCAAGTCATTTCATACTTAGTAAACACCAATGTCCTAAAACAGATTCTGAGTTAATAAAGATGGAACAAGTCCCTTATGCAAATGTAATAGGGTCAATTATGTATGCCATGATTAGCACCAGACCTGACCTTTCCTTTTCTATGTCATTGTTGAGTGGTTTTATGTCAAATCCTGGGTCAGAACATTGGTCAGCCCTTAAATGGGTTCTGAGGTATATTAATGGCACTTCACATATTGGTTTGGAATATTGTAAAAGATATAAT